GGGATGTGTCCTGATAAGTTAATACCTCACCATAACAATATAACAAGTGTTATTTTCAATCTGTTCCCCTAGATCAAAATCACCAGCATCCAACTGTCGTTCCCGATTCTCCTTCAAACTCAGTTCTGTACGACTAGGGATCGTATTCAATAGAATGCATGTAGGTGAATGTGTTTTGTCCAGGTGACTGCAGCACAGATTACCGGTGCTGTGTTTTCCTTTATTATTCAAGTTCATGTCCCATGTTGTTTGTTACTAATGTTGATTCTTCCTTCATCATACACAAAACGTGTAATATACATTTAAGGGTAACGCTATTCAGGAGGCCGAGGGGGGCACGGGTGGCCCAGTCGTCTAAGGCGCCGCGATTCGCTGTGCACAGTTGCGTCCCTTGGGCACGCCAGAAACCTATGATTGTGGGTTCTAATCTCGGTTCGCCCCGATTATGTTTCTATGGTTGTCAGCACCATACCCGTGCTCGTGGGGTTCACCGAAGTGGTAAACGTCGGAGACCTGCATCACTTCGGTCTTTCCTCCCACATTAAGCTGACACGCCGTGATATAACTGGAATACTGTTAAAAGCGGCGTTAAACCCAACTCACTCACTCACTCAGGAGGCCGAGGTCTTCCATTTACTGCCTGACGAAGGAGGGCAGTTGAAAAGACTGAGGGCTTCTTCAAATGATAATGCCCTGAAAAATAGCGTTACCGTTATTATAGTTAAAATGGATGGAATTTGTTATCAAATACAAAGAAACAACAATATCCGTTTCAAATATTTACTGCAATCAGCGCGAATGGCACTGACCCACATTTGCAAATATGTAAACGTCATAGAACAAACCAAATGACGTCACTATTGAACGTGACATCACCTATCCCTATGACGTCACCTAACAACGGGCGTGATTCTGGCCCGTCGTCAAGCAATATGAGGGCATTATCAGGTTACATTGGCCCGCTCATTTCTGATAACATGCAGGCGGTTTAATGATAATTCTATCCACTTAGCTTTAATCATACAGTTGATTTAAATCCATAGGTTATTACGTTTAAGTTGTAAATGCTGTTCATAAGTGTACTTTAGAACTGAACGTCAGTTTGGATTGGTCCATTAAAGTGGGAACGATTTACAAACGCTGGTTAAACTGTGAACCTACGAGCTTGATATTAACATCAACAAAAGTTCATTCTCTTAACAATTTGACAAACAATATTTAGGATCAATCTAATCTTAAAAATAGGTTAGAGGAAAGTGAACAAAAACATTAACATGATTCCATGCGCCAAGGCGAGCTCAACCTTCAAGTGCGGATTTATATATGACGTCATATAAGTTTGTAAAGAGGTGCATTTCGAGTCGAACGGGAGCATATGAGGATGAAATGCAATTACTGCTGTTAAAATGAAGTTTATGGAACAGTTATGGAAAACATCCCGAGGCATGAATCCTCCCATGGAACCAGCAAATTGGGAATATGACTGTTTTGTGAAGGTGTTGCTTGTGATTGGATAGTCGCAAACCAATTCAGACGATGTGGAATTGGCTTACCATTGAACATTTGTAGAGCCCATTTAGTGTTTTTCATTGTAGACTTGCTGTGTCTTGGTTTCTCCAAATCTTAGGGTTTGGTGGCTGATTCCGGTCATTTCCGAAAACAGGCCATCAAAGTCAATATCGCTCAATAATGCAGATTTCATCGTCTTCACTTGCGTTACTAGTATTCATTAATAGCTATTCCATATCTGAATCACCGTAAGGGCAATCAATTTTGTTTCATGTTGCAAACTACGTCAAACACCAGAACCAAAGCATTTATTCATTTAAAGTCAAAATACAAAATACAAAACTAATTATACCATTTGTGTGCTAAAATGGAGTTATATGCGTATGTATAACGACATGCATTCAATGCAAAAATTAGCCTATTGTAAATGACGAAAACTGTTTTTTTTCTATGACGTCAAAAGGCAACAGAGTGAGTGAGTGAGTTAACATTTAAAGTCACATCGGCAATATTTCAGCCATATCGTGACTAAAGCAATTTATACATAAAAACAACAACATTAATTTAGACTATATACAAACCTGTCAGCAAAGGACAGTAAAATTACTAGACTTATCACAGATATCAATTTTTAAAAATAGTATGTGACCATAAAAAGCTATTACTAAACAGAACAACACGTTGTAAAAACGGGCTATAGATCGCCAGCAATTGAAGGTAGATCACCATACTAGGGACCATGGGGACTTATAGTACCTTTGCTACCTACATGGAACCCAGCAGGATTTACACAATCCCTTCAGTCGCTGGCGGTTGTATGCAAGTTTAGCCACTGATTAAAACTAACAAATATACTACGATTTAAAACCGATGTAATAATAAATGTACTTTGAATGATGTGGTCTTACATATCCTCTCAGGGGGAAAAAGGCAACAGAGAGGTTCCACACGTACCAAGTACAGGGGGCACAACTCCGCTATGCTGAGCACTAGTTTATTGTAACTCAGGTCACCTGGTGAGATTTAGCTGTGGGTAAGGACAATATATTTTCATGGTGTTTTGTTCACGAGGAAACAAACTAGTCCAACACAAATATCAGTATTGAAACTGTTTACGTTTAGGTATAAACAAAACCATGAGAAATGATGAAATCGTACTTCATAAAAAAAAGAAGTAATAACGACATGGATGGCCCTATCTAACCTAAAAATTAGTCCTTATATTCCAACATTCTCCTAACTGTGCAAGTGTAATTTGACTCATGTTGCACCATTATTAATGGCGCACTAGCCGTATCCCCAAATTAATGAAGTACTAAAAACATGACACCATTCTATGCGACGTCGTTGCTGGTTTTATGTCTTTTGACAACGTCGGGGAAAGACGACGTTGGTATTTTGATAAAAATATATATCCCCTAATTTTCGTTCATGGTATGGAAAATCTCGATGTGTAAAACGGAATTTGACGCTTTTTCCATACAACATAAAATGACTGCTTTAACCATATAAATAATGTCTTAAAAAGATAAACAAACGTTTATCTTAAATGGACAAGATACATACCTGTTTGGCATCAAATTTACGTAATCAAATACACAAAAGAATATTTCAAAACAAACAAAATTATATTCAATATTGTACATGTATTTGTTGGTTAGTATGTCATATAAAGAGAGTTCAATTGGTATAGCATTATCAGGATAATCAAATAAGGTTCGACTAACGGGGTACATGGCACGGGTTATATTTTTATACTTTTTATAATTCTTGGAGAAATAAAGAAAACTGTTTAATACCCTATGATCACACGATTTAAGAAAAGGTGAACCAATTGATTATATAATGCAAAACGGGAGGAATAATTCGTATTTCGTTTGTGACAAACGCGCACCTGGCGAATCGTTAGATCTCACTATTCTGTATATCAAACGACATAAAAGACAATTCCAAGACCAAGATAATTCTTCTAGGAATGTGTGCATATATTTTAACCGAAAAATATTATCCATTTTGTTAAAGTAATATATTCAGTTTTAGTCATAAAATAAAATGAAACGTCTATTCATGGAAATTGTTTATATGAACTTATAATATTTATTACACTCCCAAAAATACATACATGTTGCAGTTACATTTAATCTTTTTACACTTGTCCGAAGTAAAGAAATATCGTATATACGACATTATAAACTTATCAATTTCTTATGTAGACAATGTTCCAACAAACATTACGAGACTAGCCAAGGTTATTACATGTTGTGGCCAATATCTACGTATGATATCATATTGAACATTTACAAATATCCAAAGTGAGTGAGCGAGGGAGTTAGCTGGGTTTAACGCCGCTTTAACATTATTCCAGTTATACCACTTAATGTGGGAGGAAAGCCCGAAGTGATGCAGGTCTCAGACGTTTACCACTTCGGTGAAACCCACGAGCACGGGTATGGTGCAGACAAACCGAGAAACATAATTTGGGCGAACCGGGATTCGAACCCACAACCATAGGTTTCTGGCGTGCCCAAGGGACGCAACTCTGCACAGCGAATCTCGGCCCCTCAGACAACTGGGCCACCCGTGCCGCCTATCCAAAGTGTAATTGTTTGAAAAAAATGTATAAAAGATGTGGAAAACCCACATCTGTACACAACAGAATACAATGACCGTGTGTGCTTTCATTCAAGGACCTTCACCTCAAAGGAATTACCAAATATGTACAACAATGTTGACGTATGACATCACTACCGGTGACCGACTTGCTACTCGGATCTCCAAGGGTTGGGTGAATCGAGTAATGGAGCTTAACATATTTGTTCCGTTTTAGGCGACCTTTCAATTTTGACCTTCATTTGAACTGTGCACTTCAAAAATACCGAAAACCCAATATTCTGTAATGGCCATGAGTACCTGTTCGTAAATTTCCTAGAAAAGGATTTCGTCATTGATTGAAACAACCATGTAAAGTGTCAGCCTCACTGGTCCAGTACGTAGCATCCGAGGAGGATGCTTACAGCGCAAGGAAATGCGTTTTGAGAAAATTTGAGAAGAGCATGATCCAGAATGTTGTTCTCCAAAAGGATCAAATGCAATATATATTGAAAAATATGCAACCATTAACTAATTATATGCAATGTACCAAATGTCCATGTTGTTATGGGAAAGGTTTTGTCGCTTTTATTTATACTAACTTGACATTAACTTTTGTAAAAAATAAGTTGACAGTTATTCTGTGCTATTGAAATAATCTTTAAAAAAAAGTAATTTAAGATTAAGGATATTATAAATGTTATGTGTTGTGTATGTGTGTGTATGGGGTTCGATTTGGGCATGAATACATTATTGTAACGCATCAAAGAACGGGAAGTCAATTCGTCAATTAATCAATATCCAACGTCAGATATGCAAAATGTCCTTCAGTGTTATTTCCCCGGTTAAAGCAAGTATCATAAATGTCAATATAGTGTCTCTATATTTTGGAGTATAAAAAGCTGCATATCCCAACTGGGGAGTAGGGAGAAGTTTGTGAACAAGTAAAGATAACACTGGGTTGAAGGTTATTATGAGGTGCTTCAGCAGTATGTCACTGCTCTCGGAAGAGCCACGTTCCAGGATTATTAACATAGGTACTGATACTAACGTGATTTATCACAATGGGGCTTGTTGGCGCCCATTGCATGAATTTCTGGCTTCCAAGCACCAGTCCTTTTCCTGCAGAGATGACGCCATTCTTCCAGCTGAGCCAAAATGGTCGAAACTCGTTGCATGATACAATAGATGATTCAATATGGGAATCAATTTTGCTGCACTGTATGCATCCAGAAATAAAGGACTTCTTGTTCCCAAATCCACCAATATCCACCTCATACACATCAGTGGTGTAGGTGTTAGGACTTTTGTGTAGAGCAAAGATGACATCGTGGCACGCCTTGACCAGAAACACCACGGTAGAGGTGCCGCCTGTTATTGTGTGTAGGTTGCTGGCAGATATCTGCTGGAGGGTGTATGTGCTGATACTCGGCGTGGTCAGTCTGATGTAGGGACCTGGAAATAAAATGATTAAGACATGATAATAACGTTACCACGTAATTAACGCTGCTTTAAACTGTTGTTCCACTGGGCAAGCCAAGGGTGCTTACATAATAAGGAACATACACGCATCTGATTCGGGTTTCCTTCTTACGAGGTTTTGGCAATGAAGGGAGGCAGTAGTTCGCAGTGAATCGCTGCCCCTTCGTCTAACAATTGCCCATGATGACTTGCTATTTCTATGAGTGGGTGAGTGAGTGAGTTGGGTTTAACGCCGCTTTTAACAGTATTTCGGTTATATCACGGCGTGTCAGCTTAATGTGGGAGGAAAGCCCGAAGTGATGCAGGCCTCAGACGTTTACCACTTCGGTGAAACCCACGAGCACGGGTATGGTGCTGACAAACCTAGAAACATAATCGGGGTGAACCGGGATTCGAACCCACAATGATAGGTTTCTGGCGTGCCCAAGGGACGCAACTCTGCACAGCGAATCGCGGCGCCTTAGACGACTGGGCCACCCGTGCCCCCCTATTTCTATGAAATATATAGTAGATAACTGACAAAGGCGACACTGATTTATCAAAGGATCAAAGTATACCGGAACAGTTAATCAAGGGTGGAGTCCAGCTGCCATTGATCAGGCAGGTGTTGTTGACACTGACGACGTCCAGCGGTACATCTCTGTAGTTACTGTGACAGGTACAAGATCTGATACTCCCTGCCATCTTGGACTCAGAACTACTGGTTGCGTTTGGAATAGGGTCTTCGGAACATACATCTGGTTGATAGACATCAGCTGTGGAGTAGAAAAATTCCTTGAAATGAAACTGTATGATTCTGTTTGGGTTTGAGTCTGCGCATGCGCGTTTTACATCTTGACAATGAGATTAATTGATTGACACACCAGACGGAATATGAGAATATTTAAACAGCGACAAGAAAACATTTCAATAATCACAAGAAACCAGAGTCCATTGTATGATTATGACTTTATCATAAGCATGTGTTTATGAATAACTATGAGAGTGATGATGCCATGTTTGCGATAGGTAAACGTATCGCGACCACCTGTGCCACTCGTCACAAACACATGCAATGGCATGCCAATTGTTTACCTTAGAAAACACGGGAACATTGGGTACATGACAAACTCGGACATCAATTTGTCACTGAGGCATTAAATTTGGAAATATCGTCCGCACACCTCTACCTTAAACTTTTTGAAAGCTTTACTAAGGCCTTCAACGTTGTAATCCGGATCAAAAGTGCGGTCGGGTAGCCTAGTGGTTAAAGCGTTAGCTCGTCACGCCGAAGACCCGGGTTCGATTCCCGACATGGGTACAATGTGTGAAGCCCATTTCTGGTGTCCCCCGCCGTGATATTGCTGGAATATTGCTAAAAGCTGCGTAAAACCAAACTCACTAACTCACTCCTGATCAATAACTCTTGGGCAAACTTCGTAAGACAACTTCGTCGAATTAAAATTACTCGATTCACCCAACGCGTGCAGATCCGGGTTAGCACTGGTCTTCAGCAACCCATTCTTGCCGTTAATGGCGACTATGCTTGCCGTAAGAGGCGACTAACGGGATCGGGTGAACAGCTGGCTCACTGACTTGCTTGATGCATGTCATCGTATCCCAATTGTGTGGATCGATGCTCATGTTGTCAATGACTGTAGTATCTGGTCCAGACTCGATTATTGACAGACCGCTGTCATGTAGGTGGAATATTGCTGAGTGAGGCGTTAAACAACAAACAAACAAACACGTGTTAAAATGAAGGCATCAAAGGATGGAGTTGCTGGACTAAAAAGGGAAAATTGACTATTCGAAGTTGAAGTCATACCTCTTGTCAAACAGGATTGAGGATATGTTCTCGTCACTCTTAATATCTATGCATACATTTGTATTTATATATTGTATATCCAGCTCAGCCCCAGTGGAAGGGTATTTGCTATTTGACCGTTATATTGAACGATCACCCATATACCCGAATCTTAACTTAACTTTTTTGGCCATATTCCAATCATAGCAGAAAGTTTGATCTTAAGCATAAAGAAACAGTTCAGCAAAGAGAGGGTACAGTTGGTACCTCTTGTCTTATTGTCTTACCCAAAAATATGTCATCTATGTAATACTTAAATTTTCGTTGTGGTCAATGTGATTCCTGCATTCTGATCAGCTGAATTAATTACATGTTATTGCATGTTTTCCCACCTTAAGTAAAATATTAAGCCACGCCCACGGAAGCTGATCGCTTTCACCACTACTGAATGCCGTGTGTCCCATATTTACAGTCAAAGAATTCCCTTTCGGTTCACATATTATCATACACATGACAATTCAGCTAAATTCGTGCACATTCACCGTCCACACCACAGGGGTAGAATAGGTCTTCAGCAACCCATACTTGCCGTAAAAGGCGACTATGCTTGTCGTAGGAGGCGACTAACGGGATCGGGTGGTCAGGCTCGCTGACGTGGTTGATGCATGCCATCGTATCCCAATTGCGTGTATCGATGCTCATAATATCAATCACTGGATTGTCTGGTCCAGACTCGATTATCTCCAGACCGCCGATTTATTCATAAGCACTATTCATGATAAAACGGGGTTTCGTATACTTTATAAATATGTAAGTTTGCTGATTGACAGGAAACAGCTCCACTTGAATATCGTTGTAATATTGATAACATACATTCTTCGCGTTATACTATACATTTGTAACTTTAACCTTTAACGGTAAACCGACAAATCATTCTCAGGTGGAGTCAAAGGGGAATGACTTGTTTCACAAACCCATGTACATGTGTCTGCAAGTACTGGATTCAACATGCATGGTCATAAGCTTTGATCACACAAAGGCCATCAGTGTGTACACCGTCATAATCTATATTACTTGTGTTAAGTGGGGTGGTGGGTGAGTTGGGATACACGCCGCTTTTAACAGTATTCCAGTTATATCGCGGCGTGTCAGCTTAATGTTGGAGGAAAGCTCGAAGTGGTGCAGGTCTCAGACGTTTACCACTTCGGTGAAACCCACGAGCACGGGTATGGTGCTGACAAACCTAGAAACATAATTGGGGCGAACCGGGATTCGAACCCACAATCATAGGTTTCTGGCGTGCCCAAGGGACGCAACTCTGCACAGCGAATCGCGGCGCCTTAGACGACTGGGCCACCCGTGCCCCCCCCCCCCCCCCCCCCTTGTGTTAAATATAACAGATGACTTTACCCAATTTCTCTGACAGCGGATCTCAATGGGTCTCTTCTTTACGTCCATAAAAAGTATCGATTTCGGAATACCCGAGGCATTGTTAGGAAATTTGTAAACTGCCTATTTATTGTTTATTGTGTTTTGGACAAAAAGGTTCATAATAAAATACATTATGCACTTTATCGCTGTTCTAGATTTGCTAGCGTGGGGAAATTAATAAAGACCTTCAATTTTAACGCTTCTGTTGCCTTTGAAGTTTGTCATCTATAACTGCGCATGTCACGAAATGTAAAAAATTATAGTGAGTGAGTGAGTGAGTGAGTGAGTGAGTGAGTGAGTGAGTGGGTTAAAATTTTTCATCGCATCAGCAATATTGCAGCCATATTGCGATGAAAACAAGTTCATTATTATTAAATACCCGTCAACAAAGGACAGTAAAACTGTAAGTCATGTATCACAGCTTAGGTATAAAACAAACCAGTTCACAATAAACACAAAGAATACTTCAGTAGATTAAGTAGCAAGATGAAACTAGGCTATAGGCCACTGGCATCCAAAGCCAGACCACCTAACTTGGGATCATGGGGACTTACAGTGCTTTTGCTTCCTGCATGATTCCCAGCAGGATTTATGTCATCACTTTGGTCATAAGCGGTCATCTTCATTGCTAACCAATATTAAAAGATCAAACCATAGTCAAGTAATTAAAACACTAGTTGACATCATACACTTTTATTTAGATGGTAATACCTTTAGAATAACGCACTCGGTACGAGTGATTCCGCAAAATATGTCATGAGTGTCGCGAGTGACCTTTGTAATCCCTCGTACCACGTGGGTTATTCCCTTTATTATCAATAATCATATTAAAGGCATATTTCAAGAAAAAAACTGCCATTGGTCAAGAAGGAATTGTTTTGTATCAATCTGCGTGTGAAACAACACTGTCCACTGACTCCAATCGCATAACTCCGTTTGTGTGTTATGCGTGAACAAATATTGTTCTGTTAAAATAATTTAAAAATCACATTATTGCTGTTACATTTCTGTCTGATTACACCGCGTACACTATATAGCATTGATAAAGGAGACAAGTTTCATTCTAAATGAATAATGGATCAAAAATAAGGGAGGTGACAGATTGTCTCCTTGTCTAACGCCAGTTAATATCTATATGCTCTTTATGTCTATCTTCTACGTTCATGTTTAACTGACTTTACAAGCACTTATCAGTGTAATGAGAGAGAGAGAGAGAGAAACATGGTAAAAACATTTGGCATAGTATGATTTCAGAACAAAAGCTTGTACATCCAGCCTTATTAGGCTTATGAGACACATTAAAATACATGTGTATCCATTGTGTAATAATAATAATAATAATAATAATAATAATAATAATAATAATAATAATAATAATAATAACAATAATAATAATAAAGAAATAAATTACTAAAATATTATAAATGTACTATACTAATAAAAATAAAAGTGGTGTTTATCTTTTTTTAAAGTAACAATAATAATTGTAGTAATAATGATAATTAACTAATATAGTTTTGTCATCTTTTAAATATATAATATAGACTTTTAGCTAAAATGTGTTGCAGTGATTCCTCTTGCATAATAAAAATCAATTTGTCTGAGCTGCCTAAATTAAAAAAAGCACTGTTAATAGCAAAAGCTTCTTGTAACAGATCAAAACGTAAGTCATCATAAAAGTTACATTAGATTAAGAAATGGCATTTATCTTCAATATAAGTGGGGGGAGCATCGTGATGATGAGAGTATATACAATATTTACATATTCTTTGAGATAAAGGAGTGGGAGGCTCGGAGTATCGGCCGGTCTCAATATGCAGTGGAAGATTACCGCATCCTTCTATGATCTTTGAACTTTACATTCTTGACATAAAAATCGATATCCGGAAAACATTAATAAGTTCTATAAGTTCGTAATTTATTCCCGTTTGGTTTATTTCTGTCATCCAATACAGCGGCAAGCCATTTATCGTTATCATCAGAAGTGAGAACATTTCTAACATGAGCGATGCATTCTTTCATAGTCAAACCCGATCTCGATAAGAAGTCCACATTAAAATGAGTTAAAACCTTAAGAAATCTTTTATCCCAGGACTGTACTATCTTAGAAGACCATTTGTGAACAACATAGGGGATACGCGAATGAGGCATATTATATAGTCTAAAATATAACCGACAACATTCAGTACGTTGTGTGACCTTCACAGAGCCCCATCCCATGCATATCACCTCTCATAGCAATAACAGATGCATTCTTTTTTACTCCTAGAAATAGTCGACAGGCTTTATTTTGAACCACTTCAATCTCTTTATATGTTTTTAAACCCCAAATACCAGCTGCATAAAATAAAACAGGCTCAACAAGAGCTTTGTAAAACTTGTCAAAGACATCATCAGACCTGCCACCAGCCTGAATAAATGTTGTGTACAAAGCAGCAAGAGCTCTACTGGCTGATTTACATAGTTCTTTTACTATTTTATGCATATCAAGATGTTCATTAAAAATCAATCCCAGATTCTTATAAGTACAAGCATACT